TCAGCGGTGCGCTTGTCGCAGCTGCCGCGCTTAGGCCCTTCGCTGCTCCTATCGCACGGCGCACTTCGCCCTTCGTGCTCCACCGCACGGCATGCGTCATGCCTCGCTGCTCCACCGCACGTCGCGCGCCATCCTTGACCCTTGTCTACTCCACCCGCACGGCCACGCATCTCCCTTTCTCCAGCGCACGTTTTGCCTACTCACTCTGGTCGCCGCCGCCCACGAGGGCATGGAAGACATTCTTGGCGTGGTGGTTATTGAGCAAGTCGTCCCACAGCGGGTTGGCGCCATTGATGGGCGCCGGATCCGGGCAGTTCGGGGGCGCCCAGGCAGTGGGGTCTTCCGACGACGAGAAGCCGTTGCACGAGTGACCGGCCCAACGGAAGTTCTGCGTCTTGGCCGGCACGCTGGGCGGCAAGGGGGGGGGGGGGGTTAGTGGGTGTAAGGGAGAGGGACACAAAGGTTTGCGAGCCGCCGCCGCCCCATTGCCCAAAGGCGCTCCGTCGTGCTCGAGTGTGTCACCTAGCATTCTCTGGCCCCGCTCCTCACACAGGCGCCGCACAAGTGGCGGAAAGCCGCAAGGGGGGGAGAGCCGCGCCCAGGTTCCTCTCGCCAGAGAGAGTAGGCGCATCGCAGCGGCGCACAAACATGGTCACCACCCTCGCTTTACCCCCTCCTCCTGGGTCGGCAGCTCTTGGTTCCTCTCCCTCTCTCTCGACGGAGCAAGTGCAAACAAGTGTTTCTCGTTCCCCACAGCCAAAGCGAAGCTAGAGGCAAGGCCGCGTGCGGGCCAGCTCAGAGCCACAGTTGGGCTCTCGCTCCAAGCTTTGCCCCCCCCCCCCTCCTTGTCGGGCGAGCGATTGGGGCAGCAGAGAGCAAGGCGGGCCGGCAAGAAATGCCTCACTTCCTTCACCCCCCGACGCCAAAGGCATTCAGACCCAAGCTGTTACGCTTGGTACTCTCAGTCGCCTACTGCGAATGATGCGAGACTCTCGCCCTCCTTGCTCTCCCCCCCCCCCCCCCCCCCCCCCCCCCCCCCCCCCCCGCGGCGGGCGCTCGGCGCAGCCTGCTCTACCGCCTTGGCGAAACCTGGGGCAGCGCCGAGTGCGCGCGCCACGAAGCAATGCCGCGCCAACGCTGGGGTGCCAAGAGGACTTTCAACAGAAACGCGGCCCGCTTTGCTTTGTCCCCCGCTTCTCGTCCGCCCCCGCCCCCCCCTCTTGCGTGTTCTGTGCGTGGTTTTTTCTTGGCCCCTTGGCATTACTCTCTTCATGCCCCCGTCCTACTCGACTCCTCCTTTCTCGCCACCTCGCGCACCCCCTGCCATTCTCTCCTTGCGACTCTCCGCCCTCAAGCCCGCCTCATACGAGACTCTGGCCTGCCCCCCCCCCTCTCTCCTGGGCGGCTCTGTCCGCTCTCTTTGCTCGTGGCGCGCTCATGCCATGCTTTCTGCAAGCCAGTCTTTGGTGGCCCTCGGGCACTCCTGCCCACCTTCTCGCACTCTTCCATGTCCTCGCTCCTGCGCTTACCTCGCTGCTGCGTCTCTGCCCATCCTTGTAACCCATCCTCTACCAACTCACTAAAACGTGTGGCTGCCGCCCTCTGCGGCGGGACTGTCCGTGTTTGGATGTGCGGTGCCGTCGATGCTGTACGTCACTGCCAGTTCGACGTCCTGCTGGTGCACCTCGATCTTGAAGCGCCAAAAGCTGAATGCTCCCTTTGCACCCTGATGCGTGTGGATGCGCACGCCCTTGCTGCTCGCCTGCGCATTCTCGCCCGCGCGCACCGCGGCGGGACCACCCTGGTCGTACGGCCCGCGGCTGGGACGCGCGAGGAACTGCAGCGTGGGCGGCGCGGCGTCGGAGACTTGCGAGGTGGCATCCTCGAGCACTAACAGCGCATAGCCGAGCCACACTCCCGCCACGCACGTGTCGTAGCGCAGCATGGGCCCGCATTTGACGTTGAGCGTGGGCATGGCTGGGCAAGGAGAGGGGGTGGGGGCTGGGGGTGAGGGTGGATGTGAGGGTGGAGAGAGAAGCGTCGTGGATGCGCCGCGCACAGATCAAGAGCGCAGAGCGGAGGCGAGGCTCAGCTCAGGCACGGCCGACCCTGAGAAAGGTGGATGCTGACCGTGCGGCGCGTGCGCGGCGCGCCGCTTTGGCGCGCGCCCAATCTCATGGCGCGCATCTGGCACCCGCAGCAGCCGCAGGCCGAGCGCCTTGATCGGTGGAGGCCGGCACCGAAGACTCGCCTCACGCCTCGCAACCTCTGACGCGCGCCGCGCCGCGCCAAGCAAGCGCCGCAAGCGAAGGCCCGCTTCTGCCTGGCATCGTGCCTCCGCCTCCAAGCTGCGCTTTGCAGCTGCGACGCGGGCGGCTCGCGGCACTTCTGCCTCAAGTCATGTGGCGAGGCAGGCATGGCACGGCCCATGCATGGCGCGTCAGCACGCAGCGACGTGCAGCAGCAGCAGCAGCAGCAGCAGCAGACGCAGCAGCAGACGCAGCAGCGAGCTGCTCCTCTCGCCTCGCGCTCGCTTGGCCGACGCTTGCAAAGGGACCTGCTGCTTGCGGGCTGCGCCTTCGCAGATGCGGCGCGCGCGGCGCCGTGGCGTGAGAAATCTGCAGCGAGAGAGAGAGCGAAGAGCAAACGTGGCTTGCTCCCGGCGTGCGGTGCGGTGCGGGTGGCGTCTCGCTCCTTGCCCTTTCCCCGGCTGGTCTGCTCGCCTCTTGCACGCGTCATAAAATCCAGGCGCAGATGCAAACGGCAGGATGCAGCAAGCGCTTGCCGCTGCAGCAGCGCCCCCTCTGGCCGCTCTAAAGTCGCGAGTTGCCTGACTGCTCGGGATCTCCCTTCGCAGCAGCACCCGTCTCGAGAGGCTTGCCGTCGTCAATCTCAGGGCCAAGCCAGGCCCACACGCTGGCGCAGAGCGGTGTGCCAGCAAAAGGCGAGCTTGCACCAGGGCACTCGACTGGGCCTGCAAAGGCTGCAGCGCCAGCACCTTGGCTCCCTCTCTCATCCGCGGCCTGCGCAACCTGCTCGGATTGCGCGCCACGCCCACGCCTGCTCTGCATGCCTAGACCCGCTGGGGGCCCGATCAGAACTCAACTTTCAGGTGGTACTGCATTGTGAAGCAGCAGTGTATGGAAGCCACGCAGATCAGACAACAGGCCATCGTCGTGGAACGCCACTGTGAGCTCCATGGCACGTGCGACAGCTCCGACGAGCGGCAAAGCGAGAGCCGCGCGCGCCCGCTCACGGCGCATCTGAGTGGCGCAGGGCCTCAATGTTCAGTACAGCATACCGTTGATTACGTCGTTTGAGTGCGCAACACAACAACAACGTGCAAGGTGGAGCGACAAACACGGCCGCAAACGGCCGCACAAAGGCAGCCGCTGCCCCCACAGCCGCTGTCCGTGGCGCCCGTGACAGCTTGGAAGCGCGCGGGCTATGGGCATCGGGTGGGGTATCGAGAGGGGCGGACAAGAGAAGGAACCCGCATGGGCAAGCGAGAGAGAGCTGTTGTGTGTGTGCCGTGCTCAAGCCGCGCTGCCTTCACTCCTTGTGCCGGCTCTTGAAGGGATTGTGAATGCGCGAGCGTCGCTTGCTCTGTGTGTGTGTGCGCATTGTGCGAGTCGGGTCAGCCCACTTTCTCTCTCCTCTGCTGTGGCCCGTGCCAAGTGGCAGGACCCTGCACTCACCGGCGTGCCCGTGGCGCTGCTCATGATCGACTGCGTGTCCGCCGTCACCTCTGCGCCTCCCATGGCCATGATGTTGTTGGCGTTGGCCGCGGCGGCGAGCTCGGAGCTGTATGCCGCCGGCGCCACACCTTCGGGCAGCGGCGGCACGGCCGGATACCCCTCGAGCGCAAGCGCTTCATCCTCGACGGCCGGCAGCCCACTGCTGCTCGCCTTGCGATGCCCGCGGCCCGTCACGAGGCCAAAGGCGCCCTTGCCCACGCTCCCCGCGCCCGAGCCGACGGCCTTGACGCCGTGCACGCCCACCTTGCCCACGCCCTGCACGCCGTGCACTCCCACGCGGCCCACGCCTGGAGGTGCCCACAAAAGTGTCAGCCCGGAAGACGCACGCAGAGAAAGAGGGGGGGGACTCACCAACTCCAACGCGGCCTACACCCATGACGCCGCCGCCCACCGCTCCTCCGACGGCGGTGAAGGTGCGTCCGAGGCCCAGCGACGTGCCTGCGGGCATGGTGTGTGCAAGTGAAAGCGGGGCTCAGTCATCGACGCTCCCTTGCACTTGCTCAGCACTCACCCTTGCGGCCTCTCGTCGCGATAAACTCGGGCCGGAAGACGAGCTTGACGGAGAGCGTGCCATTCTCGCTCGCCCCCTTGCCCGTCACGCGCAGTGTCTTTTCCGTGCTTTCAAACGGCTCGAGATCGGCGAGATCGAGCACCGCTTGGCCTAGCTTGTCGTCGACGCCCACACTGTCCCAGTCGAACACCTCCAGCACCATGTTGGCCTTCACGCGCGAGGGCTGAGGGAAGGGGGCTGAGCAGATGTGAAAAAGGGAGGAGAAAGGAGACAGCACGCACGACTTCAACTTCGCCGAGCACTTCGTGGAAATCAGGGTTCACCGTCTTCTTGACCTGCGGTGGGGGAGCGCGCGAGAAGGGCGGGGGAGGGGGTGAGCAATGGTCCTTCACTCCGCGCATCTGCCTCCGCCAATCTCCACGCTCAAGGCATCACATATCCGCACGTGTCCTCGCAACTCACCGTCTTGCTCTTGAGCTTCTGCTCGCCATCCAGCAGCAGCTTGACGTATGGATCGCTCTTGCCGCCGCGGTCGGCCGCACGCAGGTTGCGCGCATGCACGAGCTCGACGCGCAGGAAGCCCGTGTTGTTGACGCTCTCGACGGGCTCGAGATGCACGTCGCAGGGAATGTACTTGGAGGGCAACAGGGAGTCAGCTGCTGCAGGCATCTGCAACGCTCGATGCGGCCCTTGCCCACCTTGCATACGAGCTCCACTGTGGACTGCGCGGCGCCGTGCGCCTCGCTCGCGAGGGTAAACGTGGCGGGGCGGTCGAGGCAGCGCTCCAGGACATCCTTTGTGTTTGCCTGAAACTCGGCATACACGTCGTTCTCGCCCTTGCCCGAGCCGGTGCGCAGCTTGAGCCACATGCGGCTCCAGTCGAGCTCCTTGACCACCGCCTCGCCCACCTCGTCGACGGTGCACTTCTGCGTGCGCGCCACCTCCGTCGTGTACGCGGGCCAGTAGGCGTCGTCGAAGAGCACTTCGAGACGCGAGTTGCGCCGCGCATAGTTGCCGCCGAGGATGTTGAAGACGATGATGCCAGACTCTGCAGCAGGGATTCAGCCACTACGCTGTGGTGGCGTTGATGATGGTCAGAGAGGGGGGGGGGGGGCACTCACGGCAGGCGAGCACCTCCTCGCGCGTCATGTCCACGCCGTCGCCCGCATGCGTCGCGTCCGTCTTGACGCTGGCGATGCTTGCCAGGCTCGCCTTGTTCTTGACGTGTCGCCTGGTGAGGGATGCCTTTCTGTCGACGCCGTTGGCCTGCTGCTGCACGGACGGCTTGCGCTCCACACCGCCGCCGGCGCCCACGTCGAGCGTCGGCGCGCTCATCTGCTGCGCCGTCTTCTCGAGCTCCTGCTCCGCCTCATCCTCCGCCTCTGCATCCGGATCGCCTCCATCGTCGTCGTCGCCGCCACCGTCGCCCGCCTTGCGTGCCGCCTCGTTGCCCGCGCCAGAGAACTCGACGCCGTTGAGCGCCGTGGCCGGCAGGAACTCGACGTCAAACTCAATCTCGCCGTAGAAGGCGCCGCGGCCGAGCGCCAGCTTGGCATGCCGCCGACTCTTGCCCGTGCCCGTGTACGGCACGGCGCGCGTGCCTCGGCCCTCGGCCGCCAGGTCCTTGACGGGCACGTCGACGGTGCCGATGCTGCGATCACGCCCCTGGTTCTGGTAGTCCATCACCTCGACGACGACCGTGTCCTTGAGGGAGTGCACGGGCGCATAGAGAATCTCCTCCCACACGGGATTGAGGTTGTTGTTCTGCACCACCGAGCCGTCGACCTGAGCGCCGCGCACCTTGAGCGACACGTACGGGTCGCTCTTGCCGCCGAGGGCCGCCTCGACATTCTTGACGCCGACGGCCTTGTGCATGTGGAACTTGAGCACGCCAATGGAGGGCGTGTAGCCCGAGCCGCCGTTGAGGGAGCCGCTCATGAGCACGGGCTTCCACTCGGCCGACATGCGCACGCGGCCCTCCTTGCTCTTGCTCAACGGGAACCAGTCCTGGCCGCGCTCCTTGGCCGCGAGCAGATCGTTGAGCCTGACGGAGAGAAAGCCGCACGTGCGATCGTGGTCGATGACCTGCACGCCCACGACGGCCTGTGCGGCAGAAGGGGGGGGGGCTCGGCTCAGCGTGTTGCCCGCCACACCAGCACTGCACCCGCTGCCGCCGCACGTCACTGCACGGCAACTCACCTTGCCGCGGTTCGTGACGAGGAACTCCATGTGCTCCTCAAAGATGGGATCGAGCGTCTTCTTGACGACGCGCGTCTCCTTGATGCGCACGCCGTTGAGCAGCATGCGCGCCTTTGGATTCGAGTCGCGCAGTAGGCCCGCGGGCTTCTCGAGGCCCTTGACCTGGTGGATCGTGAGGCGCACCACGCCCGAGCGTGTCTCGGGCAGCGGCTCCGGCTTGCCGTCGGCGCCCACGCTCGGCTTGAGGACGGGGTAGAAGGAGAGCGACGTCTGCAGCGAGCCGCGATCCTTGCCCTCATGCACCACGGGCAGCGCGATGTTCTCGTGCTCCGGCTCATGCTCCAGGCCCGCGACGTCGAACACGGCCTGTCCGATGCGCGAGTCTGGCCGATGCTCGTTGAAGTCCATGACGCCAAACGTGAGCATGCCGTTGAGCGAGTTGAGGAGCAGAAAGTGCGTGCTTTTGAACTGCGGACTCGACGTGCTGCGCTTGTACTTGGTCTTTGCCAGCGTGCCCTTGTCGTCGATGGAGAGGGCAATGTACGGATCGGGCGTGCCGCCGGTGAGCTTGACGGCCTTGAGGTTGCGCGCGTTCCAGATGGTGACCTGCAGCACTCCGCAGGCCGTGTCCAGCGGCGTGCCCGAGAGCAGCTCCTCGAGATTGATGGTAAACGTGTTCGGATTGTACATCATCGGCCCGAGGTTGGCGTCGACCTGGCCCTTGACGAAGCCCTCGAGCCCGGGCAGCGCGGCAAAGATGTCAAAGCCAAAGGTGTTGCCGCTGTGGAGGGGGTAAGCACGGCACACTGGCGGCTCGCCTCGGCGCCGACACGAGCAAGCAGCACCGCTCGCCGCCCCCCACTCCCACTCCGCGTCTGATGTGCTCGCAAGCACTCACCCGACTGGCTTGAGTACAAAGTCGATCACCGGCGGGCTCATCAGGCTCACATCCACCGTCTGCACGTGGGGAAACGTCGAGATGAGCTTCATCTTGATGCGTGCGTGGGCGGTGAAGGAGATGTCCTCGACGAGAATCGGGATGCCGGCGCCCACGAAACCCTTGCCCACGCGGATCGTGAGGCAGATCTTCGGGTTGACCTTGCGTGCCAGTTGCCGCACCGTGAGGTCTTGCGTGTCGTTGGGCGTGAAGCTGATCTTCCAGTCCATGCATACCACGTCGTCTGCCCGGAAGGGGGGGGGGGGGGGAGATCAGCTGTGACCGCTCAGGCGAGCCTGCCGGCTTCCTCCACCCACCTGCCGTCGCCGGAAACGTCCTGACAAAGTCGATGAGGGGCGCCTTTGTGCCGAGCGTAAACGTCGTCATGCGGATGCTGTCGAGAAAGCTGGGACACTGCTCGACGAGAATGGCATCGACCGTCGAGATGATGGTGGCGCTGAGCACGGGCTCGTAGATGAGCCAAAAGCGGCGCATGAACTCATTGATCCAGCCCGCCGTCTCGTTTTCCGTCAGCATGTGCTTCTTCGCCAGCTCGCGCGCAATGTCGTCGCGCGCGCGCTGCCGCGTGCGCCGCATCGAGGCGTTGTAGTACGTCGAACAGACGGCGCCAATGACGAGCAGGGAAAAGAGACCGCCGCCGAAGCGCGTGGCAAAGTAGGTGGAGAGCACGGCAAAGATGACTGGCAGGTGCGTCTCGTGAGCAAGGCTTGTGTGGCTTGCCCTCTCTCCACCTCCAAAACTCACGGATCGCAGCGTCCCAGTAGAAGCGACCATACCATTGATCCGCCAGATACTTGCTCACAAGCACCGTCTCTTCATGCGGGCGCGTCTCTTCCTGGCCCGTCGTGAGGCCCGGCTGGCCCTGCAGCAGCTCCTTTGCGCGTCCCGTGTGGCCCACTACGGCGTCGGGGGGAAGGGTAGAGGTGGGCACGCCGACCTTCCTGCCCGAGTTGGGCTCTTGGCCCTCGAGCCGCGAGATGCGGTCCACATCGGCCGACGTGAGTGTGGCGGCGACACGCTTGCCATGGATGTCCGAGGCCATGCCTGGCAAGGATGGAGGGGCGTCAGAAGGCGCCATACTCGATAGGTGACGCGAGAGCAACGGCAGATAGCGAGGATGGCGAGGTCGGCGATCGGCGCTGTGCTGCGTTCAAGGGACGAGCTGGCAGGAGCTGCCAAGGCTGCCAGACGTTGCCTCGGCAGACCGAGGGAGCCCTAGGCCGGCCGAAAAGCTAGCAGCAAAAAAAGGCAGGCGCAGAAGTAGGCGTGGGCTCAAGGGTGCAGGATGTGGCCCCCGCTTTCGAAGGAGCCAACTACCTCTCTCAGACATGTCCGGTGCAGAAACATCCCTCTCTCCCTCCATGGCCGCCCGATAGAAGGAGCAACATCGCGCGCGGTGCGGGCTCGCGGCGCCTAGCAAGGCTTCTGCAGCCCCCTCCCCTCGTGCTGCCCACGTTGCCTGCCTCTTTCGCAGTACTGCAACCCGCCTCACAGCGCACCTCTGTCCCTCTCGGTTGCACGCAATCTCCTCCTCTCGCCCTCCTCCTTGGCGCTCCTGCGCGCGCCGGCCTGCCACTCACCCAGCGCGGCATTCTCCTCTTTCGTCGGCCTGATCTGCTGCATCTGGCGGCGTGCCTCTGCTGCCTTTTGCTCCGGCGTCGCCTCCTCGTCGAAGTGCATCACGCGTGCGCCGTCGGCCTCGTCTGCGGCCAGGCGCGCGCCGAGGGCGGCGGCGTCGCGCGCATCGGCCTTGGAGAGGGCGCCGAGGCCGTCGGGCTGCGGCACGCCAGCAGACGCAGACGCAGCTGCAGCGGCAGGCGCAGGCGCCACGGCCAAGGCGTGGTCTTTGGAGCGCACGGCCGACATGGGCTGCACGTCCGGCGCGGAGAGAGAGGGAGCGAGTGGTGTTGAGAGGAAGATGGCGAAGCGCGAAGCTCGAAGCGCGGCGCGAGGAGAGGCGGCCGCCAGCGCGCGCACAGACCGCGCGCGCCAGACCCTCGCAGCGCGCTGCCAGCCACACGGCGAGCCACGCACGGCGCAGCGGGAAGGCACGCCGACGGCACGGCAGCCGTGGCGGAGCGGCATCGTCGGCTGCCAGCAGCAGCGCACAGTTGCTCCCACGCTTTGGCCTCACCAGCACACGCGCCGCGCGCTGCGCATCCGATGCCATCACGCGGCCGCGCGTGGCCTCCACATTGCCGTGCCGTGGCGCCTCGGTGGCCGCTCGCGCCGCCGCCTTGCCGCCCACGACGCCCTGAATGCTGCTGCGCTCCCTCTGCCTCACACATCGCACCATGTCCTCCTCCTCCACCTCGTCATGGTCTCAGCTCTCCCTGCTCATCCCTCCCCTCTCGCCCTCCGCCCACAAGGGCCAGGCCGGGCGCATCGGCGTCGTCGGCGGCAGTGCAGACTACACCGGCGCGCCCTTCTTCGCCGCATACGCCGCCATGCGCCTCGGCGCAGACCTGGCGTACAACGTATGCACGCCTGATGCGGGCGCAGTCATCAAGACGTATGCGCCTGATTGTATCGTCAACACCTGCCTCGGAGGACAACAGTGAGTTGTTTTGTGTGTGTGCGGGCGTGGGCAGGGAGAGCAAGCAGAGAGGAGGAGAGAGAGCGAAGAATGATTGGCGGGCCGTATCCTCACGCGCACACGCATCGCGAGGCAAAGGCAGAGCAGGTGGAAGAGAGGACAGAGAACAGAGAGCGGGGCGAGCGAGAGGATGCGCAACCTCCCAAGTCGCCCGGTCTCTCTGCCTCTCTGCCTCTCTGCCTCTGTGCCTTGCTGCCTCTCTTTTTTCTCTGCCGGCATTGCCACGCTCGGATGATCGGCACGCTCGGGATCGCTTGCGCGCTTAAGGAAGGGGGGGGGGGGCATCGTTGTTCGCCCCCATCTGCGGCTGACCTTGCTTGCTTGCCCCTTTTCATCCTCATCTGCACCGCGCCGCACCGCACCGAACCTGCGTGCCTTTTTTTCCTCGCCCTTCCCTCCTCTCCCCTCCTGCGCTGCTCGCCTCGTCTCGCTTGCTCGCCCCCCCTCGGCGCGTGCCCTCCGGCTCGGGCAACAACATCCAGGTCGGAGGAGCAACTACAGCGCCGTATGAAGCCGCTCTTTGAGCGCCTGCATGCAGTCGTGATTGGCCCCGGCCTGGGACGAGATGAGGCCATGCAGCGCGCCGGCAGGGCTGCTATTGAGGTGAGTTCTTCCAGTCTTCGATGTGTGCGCAGGGAGAAGGCGTGAGAGAGGTGGAATGAGAGTGATTTGGGGAGGGGGGGCGAGAGTGGAGCGCTTTGCGAAGGCCGAGCTGAGAGACGCTGCATTGGCTGCA